ACCACATAGCTCACACGATACCCTGCCCTTCCCCAGCCCTTGTCAAAGCCCACAACAACCTTGCCCTCAGTGACTGCTGCCTTGCATGACTGCAGCCAAACAGCACAGAAAACGAAAAACGTACGCACATTTAGAAAGACTGAGCACCTGGCATCAGAAGTGCTTTAACTGCAGTTGCGCCCACAGTAAAAATTATAGTCCTATAAATTACATGCAGAACTATAATTTGGTCAGTCTTATGCATTTTTGTAGATTTCCGACCTAGCAAGTTGTAGGTTGTAAAGGTCATCAGAGAGCACTGCAGAAGTTAAAATCTGTATGACCTCAAGAATTTTCTGACGACTTTTATCAGCTCTAGCTTGACATGAAGTTCCATTCATACACACATACACGAGAAGCAACTAGCATTTGCAAAAGCTCCTGCCTACCAATCAGGAAAATTGCCTGCAGAACAGCACAGACACAGCCAGATGCAGCTGGAAATTACATGCTGCTTTGAATGGGGGTGGGGGGGGCAGCTATTCTTTGCATAACTTAACTTGTAGCGGGCATACGCGTTGGGCAGGGATAACAGAGGAGACAGAGGTTCCTTATTCCCCAGCACAACTCCCTTCTCCACACCTTCAGCATCCTTCGAGTGCTGAAAGCAGTAGAACAGATGAATCATACAGCATTTGCAAGACTTGTAAAAGCTTATCAATTGTTAAGTGCAATTTGTGCTAATCAGCTCATATCACAAGTGCGAATGTTAACCCGAAGGGGCAGCTAAATGACTGGTGTGACCAGCTGAAATTTAACCATCTGAAAGTTCACTTGTGGCCATATGATCAAATCACAACCCTCTCCCATTCTCCCTCCTACTTAATTCCCACTGTTAAACAACCACAACAGGATGTGTCTTGAATTCTCCTATTCAGCACTTGTGTCATGAATTGCTGGGAGCCAGGAACAGTCAGCATGCACCTAAACACCCTGAGGAACTGGGCAGCTGGTTGTTGTTCCCATCCAAGATCACAGAGGCCCCTTCAGAGATGCCAGGGCACTGCTGCTGCCATATCTGCCCCTCAGCACGGGGCACAGAGCCTCCAGGGAAAGCCAGAGATCTGCCTTCAGTCTGGGCCATTCTTTCTTCCACTGATGTTTTCCAGTTCCTTTTCAGCCAGTTCATAGTACAGGCCAAATATTAACCTATGAACCACCACGAGGAACTGGTGGGGGCGTACCTTATATAGCAAAATTTCTCCACTTTCAGGAAACGTTCAGGGGATCTTCATTTATTTTTTCTTTGCACCTAATGAAATGTCAGCATCAAATATGAAAAGCAAGTGTTTCCCAGGAGCGACAGTGAACTGACATGATTTCAGCAGCTCTGTAGGCATAAAATTCCAAGGAATAAAGTTCAATTTTAATTGTGCAGTTGGGCTTGAAAAGTAAACAGGTGTTTGCTTCTAAGCATTTTTAAAATAGATTCCTAATCTTTTGAGACAAGTTACCATAAGAATCAAATTCTGTTTTCAGTTATATTAGTATAAATTTGGAGAACTCTGATAATCTTCTTAATACAACACCGAATCCAAGTTTTCTTCTTCACAGAAACTCTGGAATTGTGCAACAGCAGAAACAGCTTCAACGGAGTAACTCTGGATTTTGAACAGGGTTGGTGAAACTACTGCTTTATTGTGTGAACTGCCTCCTTTTCTCCAAACTAGTAATTACCACACAGATGAGGCCAAAACTTTTCAGATTGCGGAAAAAGAGATATTCCAAAAACAGCATTTCCACAGCATACATTTAACTGATTTTAAACCTGTAAAACTTTGTAATGGGCCAGCGTTTCAGGTTGCAGCAAAAGCGTACAAAACAAGTAAAATAAGAGGTTTATGGTATGTATGTTGACCAGCTTTTAAGTGCAGTAGGCCCACACAGCGTCATACTGTGTTCTACATGTCATGCACGTTCAACTTTGTAAATACAGCTTCAACACACTCTAAGTTCTTGGAGCACCACCTGCTTATTTAAAGACTTTCTTTTATTCATAAACTCTCAAAAACATATTTTTCAGGGAAGAGGGAGACTCAAGGAGATCCACAGTTATCTGACAGCTTAATTTCTGGTACTAGCCACCTGAAAACAAATTGGAACGTTAGACATCACACACTGTTCTCCTCCAGACAGGGATTTCTCAAGCTTATGAACAAATAGGATTCTACAACTCTTGTCTGCCAACGTTAGGGTTACCTGAAAACTTGCTCTATATGCACTAGTACAAAATGGACACCAAAGAGTAGGATACATCTCACCTAACCTTAGCCATTTAAAACTAAACAGCAGGCACCTTTTATCAGCAAGTCATTGGAGCTCCCTCTACAGCTGATGGCATGAGACAAGCAAATATAGAGAGTGACTCATCCCACCAATTTTAGCTTGGAGAAGCAAGTAACGAAGAAGGCAAAAATTTCACTGAATAAAGGCAGAGCCCAGGTCATTAGATTATGACAGATGCCAAGCTTAGGTGACTAAAATTAGGTGGGATAATCTCACTGCAACAGGTCCAACAGCACCCATGGGGTGTTCGAGATGCCATATAGGCAGACTTCACTCCCCCTGCAAAAGGGTTTGGCCAGTTGCAACTCAGTCTGAGGCCCATAGAGGGGGAGGAAGCTGGCCCCTGGCTCCATCAAATGGAGGACAAAAGGAACTTAGGGAAAACAGGAAAAGCTTGTAATACAAACAACGAGTAATGTCCAACTTATTTGATTACAATATTAAAACAGGTGATGCCTTAATGAAGTGAGTTTCAGACACTGTGACATTTAAAGGAGCCCGGCTTTCCCTGGCTTCTGTCCATCTGACTCTAATGACCCTTTTTCTTCAAACCAAAAAGTATTGTGAACTTGCTCCTCTGTGGAACTGCAACATTAACTGCACATACCTAGACAGAGCAAATTTAGGAAAAACATAAAAACTTCCCTAGAGGCTTGTTACAGGTTCTCTCTGATTTTTCTTAAGACAGACATTTCTGAAGATGCACTGTGTTTCACAGACAGGGTAACTTTTTCCTATTTATCAAACCTGCATAATGAAACTTTCAGAACAGAAAAAGGACTTTCCAAGGTAGGTGGATCACTGATGACTGGATTCTGGAGAAACACAGCCCTCGCAAGCTACATCTGAGGCAAAAGTCATCTGGGAGACAGTCAAAAATTTGTCATGAGATCTGAGCAGCTTGCTGGTGAAAAACTGCGGTGTCTAGAATGATCCATTAACATGGCTGTTAAGTGCTGAGCATGCCTTAGGTTTTCAGTGGATGCACAATTAAAACCACCAGTCCTGAGCTCTTTGCTTACTGATTTCATACAGAAATGAGGTGCACTGCAATTGCATTGCCAGTCCCTCTTAGGTAACATTTGAATCTGCCAGTCAGTTCCCAGCAAACTTGACAGAAGGAGAGAGTTCACAAAGATAATTAAGCTCTCACAAGCTCCATCACTATAGCAGTGAGGATATAGCAGGAGACACCTAAATAAGTCCCTAGCAAGAGGGCAGTCCCTGGCAAAGCTGGCAGAACTTTGCTGCTGTACGCTCTGCTTGGCAGCGGATAGCCAGCCGATCACCCCCAGCTTTCTGACCTGACCAGGAGCATCCCAACAGGACCATGTCACTCCCAACAAGCGCACTGCAGGCTGTCCCTTGGGTGAACTCAGTTTCACAGGGGGCATTGGAAAGGCTGGGAAGGATAGGAAAGTTCTCAAGAATCATCTCAGAGCCACAGGACACGATGCTTCGTTAGCTCTTCTGCTCACAGAACTACTTGTTTCTTTTTCTGTTTTTTACTGACTTCTAATAGTTCAACGAAAGCTGAACTGAAACCATGAGCTGAAACCACTAAAGTAAAAAGTGGATGCCCTTTAGTGTTTTTTAAAATTGAACACTTTCACAAGTTGATATTCCAGGAAATTACAGGATGTCACTTTGATCCCTTCAGGATCAAATTCTAGGAGGTTTAGCTAGGAAAGCCAGATAAGAAAATAAGTCCAAAGAAAGCATGCTTTAAAGATTTTAGCCTTCCAGACATCTGCATCTGGTAAATTCAATGTAGTTTTGAATCAGATACAGCAGAACTCCATGCAACCCTTTCATTTATGCATAAGGTCCATATCTTATTCTCCACATTAATCAGTCCAAGACCAGCCTGCTACAGTTTGTGGCATTTGAGAAAATTATTTCAAATTATTTTATCATTTATTACATTTCTAACTATGAACATCTATTTATGATTCTGCAAAAAACCTAATGGAAGATGCTCTTGCACTTATACCTAACTCAGCATTTTACAATGTTCTTCTTATAAGAACAACATTGCCAATCACACTGTTTACATCCCATCATAACTTTATTCCGTGTTTTCTGTACAGTTGGTATAGAAGAAAACCATACTGTATTTTGTTAATACATTGGGTTCACAGCTGAGGTACCATAACATTAATATGGAAGAAGTTGCTACCAAAGCATTGCATTTCTTATTTGTTGTTCCCTAGAATAATATCACCTAACTAGCTACGATACCATCAGCCTAGAAACCGACACTATTTTTTCCAAAAAATATGTGTAAATTCTACCAATACAAAGCATATGAGTGTTTGTTTTTACCATTGAGGTAAGCAAGCCATATACAGAACCTCTGACAAACAACACAGTTCTGAGGAAACGTAATATTGCTTATGACAGAGAAGCAGTTAATTTTGGCCTCTTTAGTGAAGAACTAGATATCACAGGCAACAGTAATACACTTTCTTTTTTCAGGGCTTTTGAAAAACTAATGGCTCTTTCTAGTACGCGTGGCAGCCACAAATCAGGTCCACTTGCAGTTCCAGTGAATCTGAATGAAAATTTTGAAAACAGAATCCATTACACGCTCTAGAATTTAAGTTTTCTTTTATTAAAAGGGAAA